TCATTCAAAATATTTACAAAATCAATAATTCAATATCAATGGTGCTACAAAAATCACTCTGAACGTTGTTGGGTGAACATAAAATAATTCCAGTGGAAAATGTAACAGCATATGGGTTTGGAACAACATGTTTAATAAGTAAACAGTGACAATAATTTAAATTATGGGTGAGCTAATCTTTTAACAAATGTTTAAATCTGTGACACGGTTGTGTTTTCCTCATTACAGAGATAGAATCACACATGGACCAGCCCTGTTGTCGATCGCTCTACGACTTTGATCCGGAAAACGAAGGTGAGCTGGGTTTCAAAGAGGGCGACATCATCATCCTCACCAATCAGATTGATGAGAACTGGTATGAAGGCATGATTCATGGCGAATCGGGCTTCTTCCCCATAAACTACGTAGAGGTCCTAGTGCCCCTGCCTCAATGAGCCGAGCCAACAACCATGGTCACTGACCACACAGCCAAACTAGACTGTCTCAACCGTCCACTCACCCAACATCCTCTGCTGCAGTGCATTCTCACCAATGAAAGCCTTGCTTTTTACCACAGACAATTTTGAAGCTTTCACATTTCAGTATTTATCTTATTACGTTTTCCCGGTGCCATGGTGCAACGGCTAGATTTTTACACTGCGAAAAAAATTGAATCAGTATTTATCTAAACATCTTTATAACAAAAACAGACCTAAACGTCATCTTAGGCCCTGTTTTCAGCTGGTATTAAGATGCGTTTAGTTGATCGGATCACAAGTAGACGAGGGAGACACATTCCCGATCACACCTGTCTCTTTTGTCCACTTCCAACACTTCTCTCCTGATTTCTTTGAGGGAAGGGTCTATGGGCGGGTAAATTAGATCTTTCGATCTAATGGACGAAATAAGCTCACGCAATTTACATATGATAAACAGAAAACACACTGAGAGCAGCAGCTTTCGTTTCTGCTCCGATTGCCGCTTCTTAATGCCAGGTGTAAATAGGGCCTTGCATATCATGCAGAAAGTCAGTCAGTCACCTTTATTTATATAGTGCTTTTTACAATACAGATTGTATCAAAGCAGCTTCACAGTGATAACATGAAAAGACAGAAAGAACATGATGTAGGGCAACAACTGACGATGTGTAAAATTCAAGATATAAGGCAAAAAAAGCCCCTGCATGGGTTTTTGTCTTGAAGTGACATCATTCATAAAATGATTAATTAATTTATCACATCATGTCCTTAATGGTAACACTTTACTTAAAGGGGTTTGCATAAGACTAACTTGACACCTTGACACGTGTGTTATGAATATGAAGGAAGTTTTATTAATGTTTGTGACAACTGTCATTAAGTGTCATTCGCTCAGTTATGACATTTTTAATGCAAATATGACATTGTTTGAGATGTCTTTGTTATGACACCTTGATATAAACCATAGCATCATAACCTGTCAGTGTCTTGGTTATGACAACTTGACATTACTAGACAACACAACTTGTCATAAACATGGCATAACAGATTAATTATCAAACTTAAGAAACCACCTAGCTTTATTGGTTAACATTACATTAAACTGTCAGGTTGGTTTTGACATTGGCTGTCATGAAGCCATTATAACTTTTTAATGACAAATTAAATTTGTACCACTGTAGTTGAGGTCATGAAAAATATTCAGTTATAATGGCCTCATGACAGCCAATGTCAAATTCAACCACATGACAGTTTAACTTAATTTTGTCAAGTTGTCATGATAAAGATACCTGTCAGAGGTTATGATGTATTGGTTTATGTCAAGATGTCATAACAAAGACATCTTAAACAATGTCATATTTCATTAGCATTCAAAATGTCATTATTGAATTCACTCAGACACTTAATGACAGTTGTCATAAACATGCATAAACATTACTTCATATTCAAGACATATATCATGTCATGGGTATGAAAGTGTCTTATGCACACCCCTTCAAGTAAAGTGTTACCCAGTTTTGTTTCTCCAAAATAAGATTTTAGGATGTTTAGCTATTTTTATAGGAAAATGATTGCGATTATAGGAAATACTGATTTATTTAATTTTTGCAGTGTAATTTCAATGCACGTGTTTATTTCAGCTTCAACGCAGCATTCACCTTGTTCATTTGGAAATGTGTTGCATCCAATGGGGTGGATTTGTATTTTGCTGTCTCCGTACGTTTTTTTGTTGTTGTTTTTTTGGCTCTGATATGGGGTTTACCTGCCTGTAGTGGTCTTATGTGTTTTTTGAAACACAATTTTTCTAAAAACTGTGACTATCTTGACTGCTACTCTTATGAATGTTTTACTCTTACTCTCTTCCTGTCTTCGTTTACAGACTTATTGTGATCTTAGGTATCATAGTAAGCATCGCGGGTGTTTTAATGGGTTTTGCTCTCTCGCGCCTTCAAGTGCTTTTTTTGAACGGTGGCTGTATTGCACTAAAGCTTTAGAATAACACACCCATTGATGTGCACATTTTATTTTTTGTGTTGTGTTTTTTGGTTTTAGTACATTGCACTTTCTACTGTATCTCTTTCTGCCATGCCGATAAATACAAAATTTTATCAGTCTTATCTTATATGGAGTGCGAAAAAAATATATATATAAATATATATTGAAATGGATCTTAACTTTGTACTGTATGTAACGATAACTTTTTGCTCGCCTATGTGGTTTGTTTGACCTATGTCGTACTCTGAATGACATTTGAGATCTCATATTTGCAGATGTAATCAAACATTCTTGCCCTAGTTAAACTGTCCTGTGGTTATGAACTAAATTGGACATCTTTCGAATTCATGGACATGTTTGAAATGACGAAATTTGTCTCTGGGTTTGTCCACCAAAATTAGACTGTATTCTATTAATGTCAACATTATTTTTGTTTACTGAACAGTATGTTTTTCGTGCATGAAATGGACTTTTTTTGTTTCTCTATTGGCCAGATACTGCCATCAAATGTTGTAATCATCTCAGACCAAGAACTTTTTGACTTGTCATTCCCTATTGTATCTTTTTCGGGCCGAATTAAGCAGTCAGAGAGCAAAAAGGGGAAAAAAGAGAAAAAGTTTATGCTGAAAGCTGCAATGTGATTTCTGTGCCACTAACACCACCGAACCTGAGTTGCCAAAAGTACTATATTTTTGCATTTAAAAACAAAAAACACCAAAAAAACATCAATGATCATTCATGACTAGTTACAAGGCTTAATTTAATTCTTATAGGGTTAACCCAAACCCGCAAAAATATGAGCCGTAATAATAGTGATGCTTCCCTTAGCAAATACCACTTAAAATTTTCAAATAGGCCTAGATAATAAATAGTTCCTGATATGATTCAAATCACATTTTCAAGCTCTTGATTTGGTTTTGGATAAATTTCAATTATACTATATATGTGAAATAACTTGTTATATTTCTAAATTATTATTTACATTTTTTTAAACTACAGACCTAATGTCGTTTTAATGATTCATCAAAAGAACCAGCTAAAAAAGTCATTTGTTCATTAATTAGGCTACACAAGTTCACTTTACACAGTTTGTTTTGTTGTTCAGCACAGAGATAATTTAATTGAAAGGTTTGTCTATCATTATTTTACTAGACAGGAATGTTTAATCTCATTACATTCAATCCATACTGCAAGTTATCAGGAAAATATCACTTCTTTTTCTGCAGATTTAGCAGCGGGGACGCACAGTTACTGAAAAGCAGTGCCGCAAACATTGACACAAAAAAAGGATCGATCTTGGAATTAAAAAAAAATTAAATTGATAGATATTGTTTAAATATTTTTACTTGTCCCATGTTTCAGAAATTCTTATCAAACACCTACTGTATCTTCCATTGTTTGGAAAAACACGTTCTTCTCAAATCGACCAAAAGTTCATTTTACAGACCACTTAAACTAAACTGAGCACTATTTTGAAAGTGTCGCAGTGTTTACAATCCTCAGGAAGTCAACCTACATGACCGTTCAAAAGTTTGGGGATAGCTGAACTTTTTTTTTTTGGAAAAAAAAAAAAATATATATATATATATATATATATATATATATATTATTAATTAGCAAGGAACAATAATTGCTCAGAATGGCGTTAAAGACATTTATAATGTTGCAAAAATTCATTTAACCATTTTCTTTCGATCAAATAATTATGAAAAATGTGACTTAAAAAATAATGCTAAAAATTCAGCTTTGCCATCACATGAATAAATTACATTTTAAAATATGTTTAAATAGGAAACAGCTTTTTTATTGTAATAATATATTTTACAATTTTATGGTTTATGTATTTTTTCATTTAAAAAAATGCAGCCTTTGAACAGAAGAGACTTCTTTCATGTAAAAAAAAAAATCATTTAAAGAAACGACCCAAACTTTTGAACGGTAGTGTATAATTGCCTCAGCACAAAATACTGAAAAAAATAACACATGGCAGCTTTAACGTCAAAAGTAAATGGATGTTCTAGTAAACCGAATGATCAGATTCTTACCGAAATAGACCCTGCACAAAAAAAAAAGACCTGACTACTTTCTGAAGATGATTGTGAAAACATTATGAAATTGCTTGAATCAAAAAACAATGTGGCACCCTGATCATCTCGATCTCAAACTTACGACGTAGAATAGCTCTTTACTTCCAAACACTATTACTAACTCCTAAACCAATTGTACAGTGTTAAGAAATTTCTTCTCGAATGTTCATCACTACATCACTGAGTGAAAGGAAAGGCTTGTGAGTTGTTTTCTTTTTTGCTCTCTGGCGTAATTTATACACAAAATAGTTTATAGATGTTGTAAATGAATATATTATTACAAACTGTATATTGCATAAATAAATGACGTGGAAATACTGATTACATGGCTGATTGTACGTTGTATAGTTTATTTTTGCGTCTTTTTAAGCTCATCCAAACAACCGAGCAGCAGCTGCCTTAACATACACTAAAACTGCGTAATCGAATTTAAGACTTTTCGAATAGTCCGTAATTGAGTTTATATCCAAACCTCAGTGCTCCTTTGTTTTGATTTCCTTTCTTTGTTTGGCTGCGATTTCCCCTTGAGCGATTGCGTTCCCCTGTAGGTGTCCTTGTCTTTCTTCGTCGAGCAGTTCCCAACACAGGTCCAGTCAGGCTGGTGGTCCACCACTAAATCTAGGGTTGGAAGCGAAGTAGTGCTGGTCACGTCTCTGAAAGTTAGAGAGGCTATGGACTGCGAGTCTTGGTTTATAGCGCCGTAACCCCTCCAGGAGCTGTCCTTGATGAGCATTGACTTCTTGATCATTTTCCAGCCCAGATGATTGAGCTCTAAGAAGTTGAGGAAGATGCAGAAAACACCTACGCAAAACATGAAGATCAGGAAGATGGTTTTCTCAGTGGGACGGGAGACGTAGCAGTCGACCCTCTGTGTGCAAGGCGCCGCCGTGCACGCGAAGTGAGCCGGAACGTGGAAACCGAAGAGGAGCCACTGCGCCACGACGAAAGCGACCTCGAGGACGGTGCGGAAGCACACGTGGAAGACGTAGTACTTCGAAAGGACTCCTGGGATCTTGGATGGGGCGCCGGCCTCCCGCGGCGCCTGTGAGCTTTTCGGTCCGCTCTGGTTGGCGATGCCTTCGAGAACATCAGCAAGACTGTGACCCAAGTGCTTGTGCGACTTAATGGAGCAGCTGTCCGAGTCGCAACTGCGACCGTACGCTTCCCTCGCCTGCTCGCCCTCTGGATGCTTGGATAAGTTGTGCCACGTGTAGATGATGAAGCAGAGGGAAGGCGTCGACACCGTGATGATCTGGAAGACCCAGAATCGAGGCTGGGAGATGGGGGCGAAGGCGTCGTAGCAGACGTTGGGACACCCCGGTTGAAGGGTGTTGCAGACGAACATCTCCTGCTCGTCCGTATAAACGTCCTCCGTCGCCACAGCCACGATGAGCAGGCGGAAGATCACCATGACCGTCAGCCAGAGGCGTCCGATCATGGTGGAGTGCTGGTGCACGGCGTCCAGCAGCCGCTTGAGCAGCGTCCATTCTGTCATGTCTCTATGCACCGGCCTCCTGAAGTACAGCACCTGAAATAGACCCACTTTAGCTCTGTTGCCAGCAAGGACGGGTGTTTTCATGTTACAGCTCTGGCCAGAGAGCGAAGGTGCCATCACTGCTCCCAGCCATCCCTTTCTCCTTCAGAGATAAGGCCTCCGCTTGGGACAGTGCCGGCCACTTCACATTGGTCACATGGTGCTGTCGCTTGTCTTTAGAGTCCATTTACAAACCGCGGGAGAGACGGCACTCTTCCTACTCTCGATAGCGTCGGCAGATTACGCTCTTTTCAGATTGCCGCCGTACGTGATAGGATGGGTTCCTTCTGAAGGCCACTTTTAAAAATACGCCACAGATAGCGGATACGTGCATCCGCTAATCTACATACTTTAAACTTGGCATTGTGCGCTATGAATTTTGTTGGCTCTTATGACAAATTGCTTATGTTGCTCAGTTGTAAGATGCTTTGGATGAGTGTCTGCTAAATGGATCAATTCAAGTGTGATTGTTGCCTAGTGCATGATTTTGTCAGTCATGTTTGTAATCGGTTTGAATCAAGTTAAAAAAAATAAAAAATACAGTTGAAGCATTATAATTTTAACGTATAAATTGGTACACTGTAAAAAAATTTTTTTTTGGTGAAGTAAATACTACTGAAAAAAAACCAATGTAATTTGCATGAAAAAGTTAGTTCTGGCAATAATAAAAAAAAATGAAGTAAATTCCATATCAGTACTTAAATCAAGCGAGTATATGAAAGTGTAAATATCAACTCAATAAAATTAAGTAAAAATTACTCAACTTTTCTGATACTGGGGTTCCCATCATGCACTGGACCTTGAATAATTAATGAGGTTCATTTTTCACTGGTTTCCAGCTGTATTTACACTTTTTTATCATTTATTTTTGTTGTCAGTATTAGTAACTTGCCATTTTGTGACATTTCGAGTACATTTTTAGCTCAAAGTGACAAAAACGACCCAATAATTGTTACCGCCATTCTGTATTGTCTAAAAAGTATTGAGGTCTTTACATTCACATGAGGCTTAATGTTTGACATGATGTAATATAAATTACTTAGATGATCTAAGTAAAGCACATACTATAAATGACTAATACAATTCAATATTATTGTTTTAGTGGAATGTAATGCAAAGGCAAAGGAAATTTCAAATAAATCGATATTAATCAACCTTTTACTAGCCAAGTTAAAATGACTTATTTTCAGTAAAGTTTACTTAATTCCATATCCCCAGTAAATTTCACTTAAATATTTCTAATTAAAGCTACTGACTAAGATGTTAACTTGGCAAATCTTTGTAAATTTACTAGCATTTTCTGAGTGAAAAAAGTTGCCAAGCTTTTTTCAAGTAAATCCTACTCCAATTTTTTTCAGTGTATGCAATTTATATGTTTGTTTTCTATTATGATTTTTTATAATATATATCATTTATTCCTCTGATGGTGATGCTGTATTTTCACCATCATTACTCCAATCCTCAGTCACATGATCCTTCAGAAATCATTCTAATATGCTGATTTGCTGCTCAAGAAACATTTCAATGGTTTCAACACATTTTTTATCCGATGAATGCATCCTTACTGAATTAAATACATTTTTTTTTTAAATCTTACTGCCCCAAAACCTTTGAATGGTAGTGTATGATAGTAAATGCTTTTAACAGTATAGGATAGCAGAAATAAAATCCAACACTGATGATACTGTTTGTTTACAAAAGTGATAGCAGCTATTTTGAATCTTAAACTAAAATAGACAGATGATAGCACTTATCTTCATGGTATCTGCTAACTGGCCCCCTTTGATTATATGAGCCCTTAAAAGGTCTGAAACGAGTGGACGCTAAAGAAAAATCAGTAAACAGGGGCTCTGTTTCCAAACAACTTAAAAGCCAACTATGTAGACAGTAAGGCAACTCACTAGGTAGTACTTTAAATGATTTGGTACACTAGATTGCCAGTAACTCCATGAGTCATACAAATAGCATTTTTGGAGACACAACTCACAATTGATTTCAACAGAGCTTGGAGTTGGCGCATAGCATAAAAATGGTCTAACTTTTAATTTCATAATCTATAATTAAAAAAATTATAATTTTGTTCGCCATCTTAAGTCTTTTCAGCCCATCGCAATGCATTATGGGGTTGTCTACTCAGAGAGGAATGGATCTGATGCTGCCTTAGAAAGAGAAAACATACAGAAGCCATCATTCACATTCAATTTGGAAGCACCTACAATATCTTAAAATGAAACAAACAAACCATGGACTAACAAAATGGTTGTAAAATATAGTCAAATAAGACCTATAGCAAATGAATGGGTAATAGGCAAAAATCTACAAATCATCCACGATGCAGAAAAAATGCACAGGAATGACAGGGCAACCCTCTAAAATAGAGCACAAAATGTACATATGTGGCAAAATTGAGCCAGACGACTCAAATAGGAGGTTGAAATCAGACAAAACTTTTAATTTTTTGTAAAAGAATTTATTGAATTTTGATGATATGTGTAGAAAAATTTCTTTTCTCTGTGTTCAGGTTTGACTGTAGTAAAATGAATGCAAAAAAACTGACTCTTCAAATAAACATTTCAAACTAAAAATATATAAACCTTGACAAAAAGTGATCTTGAGTGTCTAATATCAAAATCCAGAACTTAATAAAGTTCCAATTTCCAAAAGTTCCAATTTTTCTCAATAGATGTCCTGTTACACTCAATATCAATCACATTGTGGAAGTAAAATAGGTTGTGAAACAGCATTTCATGTTGACTTTAAGAAATGACAAATTTGAACCATTGTCGTAATTTCTGTTAAAAATAAATATTCAATTTTGCACAGAGAAGATTTGTAATAGTCATGTTGGAGCAGCACATTGGATGTTTATGCATGGTGTGAGTTCAAAGCTGGCTTGTCTATTCCTTGTTACTTGTTTTATCTCTCCATATCAAATTAGAAGTAGCCAGAATGTAGGCCTACAATAGCGCCTCGGCCAGTCACACCTCACTGAATCCCACAACATTAAAGAGGAAGTTCTCTTTCACCAAAGCTTGTTTTATTCCAGCGGTAATCCCTGGTGTCTGGGTCTCTCCTGCAAGCGTCTAAGAGGTGTCAAAGGAATTATTCACCCCTTCACGTGGTTCATGAAGAAATCCACATTGATGTCCGTCCCCGCCGGCCTTTCTGGCGAGCAGCTTGGCCATGAATAGCAGACGGGATTAGTGCCAACAGGACAGAAAGAAAAGCGAGCAGACAGAGGGAGGAAAGAAAGAGGCAGATTTATGGGCCGAGACTCAATGAGAGTGAAAGTCTCTCATATGGCCACTTGTGTTTCCCTTCTGCACTTTCATCTAAGCTAGACCTGCGGTATAAAGAAAGATATTATGAATAAATCAACCCTTTACTGCCTAATCTCTCGTGATTGTCGCAGCTGAGTTTCTCACGTGTTCAAAGATCTGCTTTTTTTTGTCCTTTATGCTTCTGTTGTGTCTGCGTCGACCGGCTTTAGGAAACATTTGTAATCAACTGATCGGACCTCCAGACAGGGACAATGCTCAGAGGTTTGAACGACAATTAAACAGGCCTCAAAACCACTCAAGAGTCTGTGTGTTACATTGATTTAAAAACAGGGAAGAGCTGTTTTCGGGCTTCATATTATGCCTAGCAGTGCTTGACTGTGTTAAATTATCTGTAACACTCGGCCTCAAGTAGTTTATTACTTTAATGACATTTTGATATGTTTTTTTAATGCCAATATCTAGATACAATGTATATATGTATGTAATTAGGGTTACAAATTGATTTTTTAAATATACTCAAAAAGAAATACTGTGTGTATATATATATATATATATATATATATACTGTATACACACACATTTATTTATATTGAATATTTTATTTATTTATTTATTTGTATTATTATTTCATCAGAATATTACGAAACTTGGTAAAGGTTGCAGCACTTGCTATGAACACACACAAAAAATCATGGACATGATTTGAATAGGTTTAATTGTCTGAAAAATATAGCCACACTTGTGCTCCTCGTGGACAAGAATGACCACATTGATGTATGAATGGCAGTATGAATTGAATTGAAATGAATGGAAGACTTATATTTCATCTAAAGTAAAAAAAAAATGTTGTATTGTGGTAAAACACTCTAAAAAACGCTGGGTTGTTTCAACCCAAATTTGGGTCAAATATTTACATACCCAAATTAGATTTTTAACCCAACATTTTGGTTTGTCCATATTTGACCCAAATCTGGGTTGAAACAACCCAGCATTTTTTTTTAAATCTTACAAATCTTGGGCTACTGATATCTCATTTTTTGATACATCAAGCTCAAATTTGGCACACTATTTTTTTAGATTTATGGTTTTGATTAAAAAAACGTGTTTTTAAAAATATAGATTTCATATATGAATTTAAAATAGTATTTTTGTGGATTTTTCAGAACAATAAACATAAAATTCTGTAACTTTTTTTGAAGTTCACTTTTAAAACTTTTTTTCACTTCAGCAATAATGTCGTCTTTAAAAAAGAAGAGATCAAACTTAAGTCTGTGCTTTAAAGCATTCAAGATATCTTTCCTCCTTTCTTTATTGGTTTATTTAAGAGCCGACAGTGCAATTTCATAAAACACATGAACAAACATGGTTAAAAAAAGCCAGAATTAGCCAAAAGGCTATTTTTCATCTGTAGTCCCCTGGCCAAAGATGTAAAAGAAGCATTAAAATACAAACATGAAAATACATTTACATTTACGAATAAATACATTATAAATATACTGTAATGCAGTACCAGAAAATCCCCTAAAAATATAAAAAAATAAATAAAAAAAAAAAATCTGTAATTTTTGAGTGCCACGCGAAGAGCGCCGACGGGTTAAAGAGATTCACCAAAAAAATCCAAATTCTGAATTTCTTTTTTCTGCTGAACACAAAAGAAAATATTTGAAAGAATGTCGGTAATCAAACTGTTGATGGACCCCATTGACTTCCATAGTATTTATCTTCCTACTAATTGAAGTCAATGGGGTCCATCAACTGTCTGGTTACCAACATTCTTCAAAATATTTTCTTTTGTGTTCAGCAGAAGAAAGAAACTCATATAACAACCTGTTGCTCCAAGTAAATGATAACAGAATTTTCATTTTTGGGTGAAATTTCCCTTCAAGACTAAAAGATGTCTTTAAAATTAAGATACTAATACTGATGCACTCGAGCTGTAAGTTGGCAACATAACAATACTTTGGCAAAAATGCATACTCAATGGATTGTTTTTGTGTTGTTATGTGCTTTACAGTAATGTAAACATGGCCGGACAAAGGGAATCTCTCAAAACCAACAATGTGGAACCTTAGACGTCAGTCTTCGAACGAGATAAAAAGGTATTTAGCAAGAGATCAGGCCGCTCTTATAGATCAGCGAGCTAAAATTAGACCTGGTCCATGAGGTTTAAATGCTGCCAACACTTTCACCGTTTGTTGTTGTTATATCTGCAACGGTTTACAGTCGAAGCTTAGGACCCCGTTCGATTAGCATAATGTCAGGAAAATGAAAAGCCATTGGTGACAACTAACTGGATTAAGGACTCTTGAATGAGGAGCTGCCCGGAGTGTAACCAACGGTGATGTGAGAAGGATTTCCCTTTGTCGGTTCTTTGCCTGTGCTTTCCTGGCCTTCCAGCTAATCCTCAGCTATTCTCACCAACGACCTTGGGCTCATGCTAATCTGACTGTAGAGAGAGAGAGAGAGAGGGAGAGGGAGAAAGTCTACCTACCTTTAAACCTTCAGAGCCTAATTCTGCTCATGTTATGGGGACTTTGGATGAAGAACAGCGTCTGTCTGATGGTAAGTTCCTAACTTTTCTGAAAACTTTAAATTAGCTTTTCATTTGCAAAAGTCATTGAATTGTGCTTTTGAAGTTGTTTTAGATGTCCATTTGGTCAAATGTAATGTGGCTTGTGTGTCTATACAGAGTTAATGTTGCCTCCATTGTGAATTCATTGATTTGTGCATCACAAGGATGCATCAGAGAAATGCAATGGTTTGCAAAAAAAAGCATGCAATCAAAACTTGCTTCAACATTCAACTTTTAATGTTTGCTCTCTGACGTAAGCATCTGTTGACCGATTTCTGAGAGGCAGGATGGCTGTCCTTCAGAAACAACTTTTGGATAATAATCTTCAAAGGATTTTCGCACTCCTTACAGTTTAGTTTCAACCAATCCATGAAGTCTGTACATCATTCAGTGGAAAAGAGTGTACCCTTGCAAAAGTTAAGAACGCATTCTCACCCCAAGGCGTCACCTTTGACCATGCTTCAATATTTGATGTTTTAGGCGCCCTTTAGCGTCACTTACATGACGCGATCCTACGGCGTCATCTAACTGACGCTAAAGGAAAGCGTCAGTTAGAGGACGCGGTTAGGTTTAGGTGTGGGGTGGGGGTAGGGTACACGCGATCCTAGGGCGTCATCTAACTGACGCTAAAGGGCGCCTAAAGCGTCAGATATTGAAGCATGTCCAAATGCTTCCCAAGGCTTCAGTTAGGTGACGCCTTGGGAGTGAGAATGGGCTGGAATATACCAGGTATGTTTAAGGATAAATGCGTCACAAAAGTGTACCTTTTGAATGGGTACCGCCCCAGTGACAGTTTTTGTACTTTTTTATGAAGCAAAAGTCATCATTATGGATCCATGATTCATATGTGACTGAGCCTTAGTAATTATCTAAAAAAATGATGAAAAATGCATTGAATGTGAATGATAGCCTAACATGTACTGTATGTGCATGCAATTGTTGCAAATATGCATATGCAACTGATCATCTTTTACAATAGTTAAAGAGGGGAACACACACGCACACACTCACTCATCTAAATGACTATTAGGAACACAATATACTAAGACTGTGTTTGACCCCCTTTCACCTTCAGAACTGCCTTAATTCTATGTGGCATTGATTCAACAAGGTTCTTAAAGCATTCTTTAGAAATGTTGGCCTATATTGATAGGATAGCATCTTGCAGTTGATGGAGATTTGTGGTTATTTCAGTCAAAGTTGCTCTTCTATTAGCTTGAATCAGTCGGCCCCTTCTCCTCTGACCTCTAGCATCAACAAGGCATTTTCGCCCACAGGACGGCCGCATGCTGGATGTTTTTCCCTTTTCACACCATTCTTTGTAAACCCTAGAAATGGTTGTGCGTGAAAATCCCAGTAACTGAGTAGATTGTGAAATACTCAGACCGGCCCGTCTGGGACCTACAACTATGCCACTCTCAAAATTGCTTAAATCACCTTTCATTCCCATTCTGACATTCAGTTTGGAGTTCAGGAGATTGTCTTGACCAGGACCACACCCCTAAATGCATTGAAGCAACTGCCATGTGATTGGTTGATTAGATAATTGCATTAATGAGAAATTGAAAAGCTGCTCCTAATAATCATTTAGGTGAGTTGGTGTGTGTGTATGTATATATATATATATATATATATATATATATATTATTCTATCATATCTCATTCACATTCGTGTTCAAATTAAAAGTAGTTCTTATAAATTTTTACAGAGGTTTTCTCCAAGCTCGCCAAATTATATCTCAAGAGTAAAAATGTTTTATCCAAGCTCGCTAAATTATATCTCAAGAGTAAAAAAGCAGCTATTTCAGGCTGTCCCTCACAAAAAGGACTTTTTTCAGGCTGTGTCTCTTCATTGATTCCTGTCTCCGTCTCTCTCAGCTTGCGGTTGCTCGGGTATGAACGGCGTCGTGTGCAGCAGTCATGCTCTGTGAGGAGTCTTCAGCTGGGCTCAAGGCTGCTCTGGATTCTCTGGATACTGAGACCTCCACAGATCCTGTGCAGGAAGTCATTCATAGCAGCACGTATGTGTCCTCTGTGATCCCTGCACATGTGGGCATCAGGTGGGTCTAAGCCATTTATCCCAATACCCATTAGGCACTGGTGACGTAAATATGTGCAGTCATGAGTTTATATTCTTCTCATGTCAGAAAGTTGCAGAAAGTCTCTCACCAAGGCTGCCTTTATATGATTAAAAAATACAGTCAAATTTTAAATACCTGTATTATATTTTAATGATTTGAACTTGATACTTGTGACATATATAATTATGTCTTCAGATACTTGTCTTCAGTGTCACATGATCCTTCTGATTTTTTCAGTTTTTGTTTTTGTGTGGAAAGACAATTTTTTCAGGATTCTTTGATGAATACAAAGTTAATTCTTTTAACTTATAATACTGTATATCTCAATTGAAACTTTATATCTCATAATATGCAAATATCTATTATTTTTTAATATATAATATATCTATTATTTTTTATCTCAATTAACTTCTTTCTTATTTTTTACTAAGGTACTTCCATTCCAAAATAAAGTGCAATAATAAATAATGATAATGATGAAATGATTCAAATAATGGTAACTTAACCTTTAAAGACTTGCTTATAATATGCACATTTCAACAACCTAAATTAATTGATTTGGCCAACTTAAAAAGACTTCTTTCAAAAACATGACAAAAATCATAATCACCCCAAACTTTTGAAGATGTGTGTGTGTGCATATTTGCGTGTCTATGTATATATAATTTATGATTAAAAAAGAAAGAGATGAAAGTCATTATTCTAATTCTCATGCACATTCATGTTCAAATACTGATCTCACAGTTGAAAATATATTTCATATCTATTATTTTTTAACTCTATCCACAATTAACATCTTTATTTATTTATTTATTACTATGGTGCAAACAGGATTCCATACCAAACAAATTGTTTTTAAACACCCCACGGAAGCCTTGCTGCACATTTCAACAGCCATCTACATCATGTGAATAGTCCTGTGTTATCTTCCATTATAGTTTTCTGATGGATATCCGGGTCTCTCTTTTCAGTCTGAACAGCGAGGAGCCGTTCTGTCGTATCTGTCATGAAGGCAGCAGTGCGGGCGATCTGTTATCCCCCTGTGAGTGTGCCGGGTCCCTGGCCATGGTGCACCGTGTTTGTTTGGAGCACTGGCTCACGGCCTCCGGCACCAGCCACTGTGAGCTCTGCCACTTCGAGTTCTCTCTGGAGAGACTTCCTAAACCACTCACTGAGGTACAGGAAAAGAATCAGCAGTAGTGCTTTTGAATGATTTAATACTCTATATTTGCTTTAGAGGATTTCTAATAACTCCAGACACTTAAAGGAGAACTCCGGCGCAAAATGAACCTTTGGTCTAATAACACATTGGTACCTAGTCGACCGTTCTCTGAGATTTGATTTCATGATAATCGAATGTAACTGTTTAGCGTATAATGCTAGTATATGGGGGCATTTAATAAGTAAAAAGAAATCGCTTGTTGATACCACTAACAAAGCTCAAAATAGCCCCAGATTAACACAGTAACATAATGAGGGTCCCTACATGCAAAACGAAGCATTGAGAACTTTGTAAGTGTACAGACCGTTTAATAAGAAGATACTTTATAAAGAAAGTCCACTTCGTGTATACTTTTTACATGCCCCCATTACTAGCGTTATACGCTAAACAGTTTTTAGAGCTAAAACTCTTTACATTCGATTATCATGAAAACAAATCTCAGAGAACGGTTGACTAGGTACCAATGTGTTATTAGACCAAAGGTTCATTTTGTGCTGGAGTACTCCTTTAATGCCCTATGCACTTTAAAGTCCCCCTGTAGTCAATAATTGTATCCCTTGAAACTCATATTTAAAGTTTTTTCACCCTTGCCACAATTACTATACTGTACGTTGTTCTGTGAATATGCAAATTAGCCCCGCCTCCACTCTCTCACAGCTCAGAGATTCACTCGTTGACGATCACACGTTGACGTGATTGGTTACAAGGTAGTTTGTGACGTCAGAAAGAACAGCGAATTAAAACCGTGTTTTTGAGACTTGTCTTTGGTTCACTGCAGTGCTGACTCATGGATTTGCACATTTGTCTTAAAGCATATTAAAAACATAAAAACATCACATAGACATATATACACATAGTAGATTGTTTTAGGCAGTTATATGAAGTCCCAGTTTGCACAATAGTTCATATTTATCCCCTCTCGATTTTTAATGCGAAATTATTAGTAGTTAATAATAAAAATAGTAGTTCCATTTGCTATAATTTTGTACGTTTAGCAGATGGTGAAACTGCATCTTGGGCACCGACTATTTTTTCGAATTATGTTGTTGGCTAATCGTTGCTATGGAAACGCAGATATTGTCCGACCTCAGCTGATAGTCTGCGAGTCTGTCAATCTGCCCTCACAAATGACTTTAGAGTTTATTTATAGGCGTAAAGAGATCTAAGTGCAAATGGACATTTAATAGCACATAGTCTCAAGGAATGTGTTTTAAGCAACATTATCATCAGCCTTCATTCTCATGGAGTCAGTCACTCTTGAGTCCTGAGTCGTGTCTCTGCTTCACTTTAAGGCACACATGAGATTGGCAGGTCTGCTTTACCTCGACATCTTTTAAACACTAATCCACTTAGCAGGAAAATGAGATTAGATGAGGAACGTATCCCTGTCGCTGCAGAGGCTGGATGGGGACAGGCCGCTTTATTAATGTCCTTATCTCATGTTTGGGCTGGAGGACAGGAAGATGATACTATGTGCATCACAACAATCACTTGCCCCATCAATGCTGTGCCTTCCACTCAAGCTAGAGAACAAGCAATATATTATGACAGATACAAATACAGATTATAACTGTCTGATATATCTGATGTACGTCTGCTATCTATCTATCTATCTATCTATCTATCTATCTATCTATCTATCTATCTATCTATCTATCTATCTATCTATCTATCTATCTATCTATCTATCTATCTATCTATCTATCTATCTATCTATCTATCTATCTATCTATCTATCTGTCTGTCTGTCTGTCTGTCTGTCTGTCTGTCTGTCTGTCTATCTATTAATCTATCCATCCATCCATCCATCTATCCATCTATCCATCTATCCATCTATCCATCTATCTATCTATCTATCTATCTATCTATCTATCTATCTATCTATCTATCTATCTATCTATCTATCTATCTATCTATCTATCTATCCGTCTATCTAACTGTCTATCTGTCTGTCTGTCTGTTGTTCTGTTGATCTGTCATTCTGTCGCTCTGTCTGTTGTTCTGTCTGTCTATCGTTCTGTCTGTTGGTCTGTCTGTCTGTTGTTCTGTCTGTCTGTCGTTCCGTCGTTTTGGCTGTCGCTCCATCGTTCTGTCTGTCTGTCTGTTGATCTGTCGTTCTGTCTGTCTGTCTGTCGTTCTGTCTATCTGTCGTTCTGTCTGTCTGTCGTTCTGTCTGTTGTTCTGTCGTTCTGTCTGTCTGTCGTTCTGTCTGTCTTTTGCTGTCTGTCTGTTGTTCTGTCTGTCTGTCGTTCTCTCTGTCGTTCTGTCTGTCGCTCTGTCTGTCTGTCTGTCGGTCTGTCTGTCGGTTGGTCGGTCTGTCTGTCGTTCTGTCTGTCTGTCGTTCTGTCTGTCTGTCGGTTGGTCGGTCTGTCTGTCGTTCTGTCTGTCTGTCGTTCTTTCTGTCTGTCGCTCTGTCTGTCTGTCGTTCTGTCTGTCTTTCTGTCTGTCGGCCTGTCTGTCATTCTGTCTGTCTGTCGGTCTGTCTGTCGGTTGGTCGGCCTGTCTGTCTGTCAGCCTGTCTGTCGGTTGGTCGGTCTGTCTGTCGTTCTGTCTGTCTGTCGTTCTTTCTGTCTGTCGCTCTGTCTGTCTGTCGTTCTGTCTATCTGTCGCTCTGTCTGTCGTTCTGTCTGTATTTCTGTCTGTTGGCCTGTCTGTCATTCTGTCTGTCTGTCGGTCTGTCTGTCGGTTGGTCGGTCTGTCTGTCTTTCTGTCTGTCTGTCGTTCTGTCTGTCTGTCGGCCTGTCTGTCTGTCGGTCTGTCTGTCGGTTGGTCGGTATGTCTGTCGTTCTGTCTGTCTGTCGGTCTGTCTGTCGTTCTGTCTGACTGTCTGTCTGTCGTTCTGTCTGTCTATCTGTTGGTCGGTCGGTCTGTCTGTCGTTCTGTCTGTCGTTCTGTCTGTCTGTCTATCTATCTATCTATCTATCTATCTATCTATCTATCTATCTATCTATCTATCTATCTATCTATCTATCTATCTATCTATCTATCTATCTATCTATCTATCTATCTATTTATCTATCTGTCTATCTATCTATCTATCTATCTATCCTTATTTATTTAAATATAAATATAATATAAATATATACTTATATTATTGTTTATAAATAAGTAACATTACCTGTCCAAATTGCTGTACGTGTAACACCCTTCTAATCATGTGTTTTTCATGGCTCCAGTGGTTCACTACACCGTCCATGCAGCACCAGAGGCGGACACTGTGTGGGGACGCGATCTGTTTCCTGCTCATCACACCATTAGCCAGTCTGTCAGGATGGCTGTGTGTGCAGGGAGCCATGGATCTATACTACAGCAACAGCATGGAGGCCATCGGACTCATAGTTCTCACACTGACACTCTTCACTATTTACCTCTTCTGGACTGTTGTAAGTTTACTTATTGTAAGTTTTCAGTCTAGCTAAATGAAAGTTAAATGACAACTTGCTATGTTCTTCTTGGAGCTTTTCTTGCCCTCTGGATTTTGCACTTCCACGGCAACACTATCAACGGCAAAAAGAATCTGCAGAGGTCAAGTCACAGTTTATAATCTTCTACGAGGACTTGATTTTTACACATCGGAATCTCTTAATTACAGTAATTTCAACATGGCGTAAACACACCAAGATATATTTTTTTTAATTTGAAGTGGAGCTCCTAAAGGGACGACATGGCGGTGGTACAAAAAAAAATTTGATGGAAAGAAAAAACATTTCAAAACCTTTGCATTCTCTCGTAACACTTTGCGTCCCCCGAGAAACTTTACATTCTCTCGCAAAATTTTTACGTTCCCACTTTCTCTCATGATTGGGCTCTTTGATGAACAAATCTGTACAAGCGTAATACAAAAGTCAAATGACACTAAAATGTCAAACTTTCTGCATAATCTTCCTTTTTTACTGCAGGTATCCCTCCGTTACCACGTTCACCTTTTCAGGACGTGGAATGCGACGAATCCCAGCGTCCGGCTGCAGATTCCCTGCCCTGTGAAGACACAGCAGAAACAAAAACACCTAACGATGCACTTCTTGTGCAAAAACCATAAAAAGGAGACCATGGTGTAATGCCGGCGACAGCATCAGGAATAACAAAAAGCTCAACGGTTATTTCAGACACCCTGATTTCATGATGTCATGATTTTGTGTGAAGCCCACACTCAGATTTGGAATTGAAGAGATGCCCTAATTTGGAGTGATACCATCATTTTGAGAGCGATTTGGAGTGATGCCATTCTGATTTGAAGTGGTGTTTTTACTTGTGTTCACTTGAGTTTCTAAATAACGGAAAACTCTGAAGAAGAAACTTTTCAGTCATGAAATTTCAACGAAACATTGGAAAAGCACATCAAACTACTGGAAAGGAACATGCCTTCATAATTATTGCAGAGAACAATGGTGTTGAGATGATAGCGATTGAACTATTTATACCCACAGGTTTTACTTTACAAGATTGTTTCATAATTATTCAGAAGAATATATATATAGGTAAATAGGTAAGACAATCATACTGATATGCAGATCATTTCATTACTGTTTTTTCATAATTCATTACCGGAATTATATAGAAAAACCCAAATTTGCTTTAAAAACTTGTACCATTGTGTGTGCAAATGTCACATCAGAATATCCAACCTGATCTCATGATAAAATATAGACTATTGGTCAAAGGTTTGTGGTCAGTAAGATTTTTTTTTTTCATGAATTAATACTTTTATTCACAGAGGGTGCATTAAATCTATCAAAAGTGACCGTGAAGACATGTAATATGTTGTAAAAAATTTCTGTTTCAAATAAATGCTTTTCCTTTTTATTTTCAGGATTCTTTAATGAACTGAAAGTATTACGGTTTCCACAAAAATATGAAGCAGCACTACTGTTTTCAACATTTATAATAATATTTTTTTTTTAGCAGCAGCAAATCAGCATAATGTGGATAATGTGACACTGAAGGATAATGTGACACTGAAGACTGGAGTAATGATGTTGAAAATTCAGCTTTAAATTACAGGAATAAATTATATTTTAAACTGTATATTTTAAATTCTAATAATACTACACAATATTACTGATTTTATTGTATTTTTGAAGAAACAAATGCCACCCCTTCTTTCAAAAAGATAAAATTCTTACTTATGCAGTTTTATTTTGTTAGCCTAATTAATTCACAAAACCACCAGGTTGCCACAAGCCAAAAACAATTTTTTTTTTTTTCCTGTTTCTGCCTATGCTGTGGACATAGGCTAATTTAATACCTATTGTGAAAGTGAAAAAAACTTTTTTTTACTTTTCTTTTTTTTTTATTACTCTTACATCTTTCTTTCTGCAGGAACAAGTATCATGGGGTGTTTTTTTCCCACTGAGATCTGAATCATTCAGAGACTTGGCTAGCTAGGTTTCTCCATTTCAATCCTGCCAGAGGACAAATAACTTCAGCGTTCAGTGAGGTGAATTGGTCTGCAGTCAGAAAAAGAGCAGTTACTGTTCTTCATGCTTTAAGATGATTTATAAACCATGAATTTTGTTCAATGTTAGGCTAATGTGCACTTGATAGGAAATTACAGGGGCAGTAAATCAAAATGCTAACTTTGGCTAGAACCGTGCATCACTGCTATTGCTATCATTGTCCTATAATTGCATCATGTGCAGAGTAACAGCTCAGAGTCTAGAGAAACACTTTTCTTTTTTTTAGGAACTTTAAGAAAAATTCTGAATAGAAACTGCGAATGTTCGTCTGGCCAGCATGCACAAAAATTTAAAACTGCAATTGCCAATAAGTGTCAACAGATGGCGAAACTGTGAATTATAGGCTTACCGGTATTTACCTTTACAGTCTATGCCATATCTGTCTATAGTAGGCCTATTAGATATAATATATATTCACCAAAAATAGAATCACATGTTGAAAGTTATTTAGGAGCAATAGTAGTATGTTAATTCTAATGTAAATGCCACTATAGGTATTTACCTATGGCATTTACATTAGAATTAACATATTACTATTGCTCCTAAATAACTTTCAACATGTGATTCTATTTTTGGTGACGAGAAATTTGAGTCGTAATGCTTTTTAAAATATGCATATGAACCTAGAAGATAAGTTAAACTTCATGCTTAAATCAAAATGTCTAATATCAGTGGCTAGAATTCTTTCATTAAGAATTGTGAAATTCCCTATATATGGAGAAAATGAAAAACCTTTCCCACTATTATGACTCAGATTCTTATTAAATCACCAGCAATCCTGCGGTGTTCCTGTAGGCTACTTTGCCAATATTCTTTAGAACAAGTTAATGTTAGATAACGAATAAATTAAACTGGAAAAGTATCATTTTACCGTCACATATACATGTAAATGCATATACATAGTTATTTATCTGCAAATATATTTTATTCATAATTGTATATTATGAAAAAGGCACCGTGCAGCTGGGCGAGTGTGACACAACGCCCCCGTGTGGAGGATTAGGTTATAGTCTAAAACTAACTATCGAAATGTCCACACTCTCAAAATTCTGAATAAAGCTTTGTTTTTTTTAAAATAATCTAGAATAAAGACAATTCATGCTGCAAAACAAATAAATATTAAATATTTACGATTCGTCACTACTTCCGGGTCACTAACCAAAATTAGTGACATTGATCATGCAGCACAATTCTCAAATGCTGGAGAACATCATAAGGTTCAAATTGCTCAAATTATTCAGCTTGATGGGACAGATCAAATGTAATACTAAATAATCTGCAACGAAAAAATATATTAGATGCATTTTCACTACTGGTCTCAGACTTTTGTTTCCCACTGTAGGCTACATAAACATCATGCCAGAAAGGTATTCATCATGTTCAAACATCATGTTAAGAGGTTTAACAGATGTCAAATCTGATTTATTTTAGCTAGGAAATGTCTTCTAATTTTGAATAGAAGAATTGCTAAATAAATAAGGAAAAGAAGAGAATGAAAACTGTTGCATGATTTTCTTCAACAGCAGGTGGAGATAAAAGTCCATGAATCCACTGAAAGTGATCTCTGACTCTAATAACGACGACGACTGATTCCTTCTGTGCTCAGAAAGCAAACACAAGGATGCATATTAGCCTATATATTATAAACTCCAACATCTAAAATCTAAAATACACGTTTCAAAAGGTAACAGTTGAACTCTTCATCAAAATTCTGCTGCTAGTGCAGTGTAGAATATTAATGAACATATAGATCCAAGAACTCACTTATAGACTGTTTAAAAGAATGAAAAGCTTTGCCCGTCTCTGCTCACTTTGACTTCAACCAGGACAAGGGAAAGCATATCAAAGCCTCTTGCTGCCAAAAGCTACTCTACACTTCATAATAAACAGATATGCTGAGCCCCAACAAGCTCTTTTGATCACTCGCAGGAGCATATAGAATGATAAAAGCTGACATGAAGTGCTCGGCTGCTCTCTGGAATTGATCCAAATAGTTTAATAATGCTGGGAAAAGTATGCTATTTCAACACTTCAAATGTCATTGCATTAGATAAAAAATATCAAACCAAAATTCAATTTCTAACCAATTAATACTACAGTAGATGCATTTTGTTGCTCAATGTGTTTTTTTTTTTTTGTTTTTTTTTTGAGAATCTATGTCCTCTTGGTTTGATATTTTGTTATCTAATGCATGGACATCCAGATGTTTTATAGCTTAAAGAGATCATTCAAAAATTCTGACATCACTTACTCACCTTCATGTTCTTCCAAACCTGCACGAGTTTCTTTCTTCTGTTGAACTAAACATATAGTTTGAAAGAATGTTGGTGTAAACTGTCTATTAGTATTATATATAATATATCAGTGCTGTCAAATCGATTAATCGCATCTAACATAAAAGTTTGTGTTTACATAATATGTGTGTTTGCATAGCTATAGGCCTATACATTACACACGTACACACACAAAACACAAATATAATTCTGTCTGTATATATACAGTAGCCTAGACAAACGTTAATGTTAGATGTGATTAATCGCAAATAATCGATTTGACAGTCAACTATAAATAAAGGTAAAGCTTAATTGAAATGTTGCTGTATTTTCAAAAATAAATCTTAGATTGGAGCAAGTTGTCACAGGCAGTTTTAATGTGTTTAAAATGCTGTATATTTATGTATTTAGTAGCCTATTTATGGACTAAAATGTTGATATTTCTATAGCCTATAATTTAATATAATTTTTACTATTTATTATTTTTTGGGGGGAACAATACTAGGAGCTTTAATCACAGGTTCCATCGCAACACCTCACCCCATGAAGTGTGACAACATGCCCCGCAATGGGGGGAGCGTTCTAGTCGCGTCGCGTCCGGTATGGGACGCCTAGTGGACTATAAGCTCAGCACACTAACTTCTGTCAACTCAGTGTTCAGTACGCAGACGTGCGCTGAGGATATAGAAGAAACTCACAGTCATTCGACCTGCATTCAGCGTTTATAACACGCGACTGACCGCTGCGTGACGGACACGCGACATTCAAGTGCGGCGCGCGCGTTTCATGGATTAAAATGTGAATCTATGAGTTACTTTGCAGCAAAGGTAAGAGCTGGTCACATAAACGCACGTCTTTTCTCAGCTTTGTATGACGAGTCATTTATAAAGCAACTTTGATTTGTCTGCCAAATTAAGCGTTTGGGCAGATCGTTCATCTCATACTGTTTCCAGCATCTCATAGGCTATGCATTAATCTGATATTATAAAAGCCGTGTCATGTGAATATGGTTAGACATTCACTGCTGCACAGAAACCTATTGCACTGCATTTCTACTGCTGTTGCATTATGCATGGGGAATACCTGAGAAAGAGGCTGTCTTTCGTCACTGTCAAAAACCTTGTACCAGCCTAGATAGGGTAATTAAGTCAATCAGGAGTAGGCTGCCACTGCCTGCCACACAATAATCTAGATCCAACAATCTCATTTTAGGTAAATAATCAAGCTTCATTCATACATGCAGCAATGATGATCTGTGTCTATACTTTCTCTGTCTCTCATCAGGCTGATATCTGACTGACATCATTCACCAGACAGCTCTCGAACAGGATTTTAAAGATGGAGTTCTGGCTTTTGCCCATTTGTCAGATCAGCTTCATGTTGACACTGATGTCATCCACTGGTCAGGTATGATATAGGTCAAAAATTGTTTTTTTTTTTTTTTGGTGAAGTTAGTTATCGCTCACCTGATCCATCAGATTTTCTCTACACTATACTCGGCTAATAGCTGCTGTACTTTAATCATCTACAACACTGGCTTTACAATTACATTTAGTTCATTTTGTAATGAACAATGTGCTGTGACATTGCAGCAAGGTATTACTGGGATGTTGCAGCATTGTTTAGCTGACTGTGTGTCCTCTCTAATTTGATATTTTGCCACATATAGTGTGGATTAAACATTTTACGTTGACTGATCATCATAATGGTGACTTTACGTTATCCAAGTGCAAGGGTTAATGGGCTTTTTTTGAAACCTACAATGTGTTTGTCTGATCTGATCATTTGTAATTATTGTCCTCTGACAAAAAGTTTGGTTGATATTACAGTAAAAGTTTGATTTTTGTGTTTTATTGTAAGAAATTACTGTAAAAGAACTGGCAATAGAGAAGTGTGCATGAAGATTTGAATGTGTATGTACGTTTTTGATATTTGTTTTTGTATAATTATAAGTCGCACCTTATATTGGACACAATTTAGTTAATATTGGACAAATACTTAGTCTCTCACATTTTGTATTTTGTATTTAGAGTTAGTATAGTGAGTTTCAATCCAGACCAATCCATTTCACATATGACCACCTTGAGATTACCAGCATTTTCATTTAGTTTATGAATAGTAATGGTTATGAATAGTAAATGTAGCAATTTTACACATTTTAGTCTGTGAGGTGTTTTTGAATAAGTCTCTTGTGCACCAAGGCTGCATTTATTTGATATAAAATACAGCAATAAATACATTTATTTAAAAAAACAGTAAAATATTATTACAATTTAAAGTGTACTGATTTCTATTGGAACAGTTTTTAAAATATCATTTTTTTTTTCCTGTGATGCAAAGCTGAATTTTCAGCATCATTACTCCAGTCTTCAGTGTCACATGATCCTTCAGAAATCATATTTGCTGCTCAAGAAACATTTCTTATTATTATCAATGCTTAAAACGGTTCTGCAGCTTAATATATTGTGGAAACCGTGTTACTTTTTCAGTATTCTCTACTGAATAGAAAGTCCAGAAGAACAGCATTTTTATTTATTATTTGAATTATTAAAATGTAATAGTTTTGATCAATTTCTGGCTAAAATGATTAATCTCTTTGAAAATCTTACTGACCCCATACTTCCCCAATCTGTCATTTAAATTGAATTACTTGATCACATCTGCATCCGCCATTAAAATGCCCGAATAGATTTTGTTGTTTAATCAGGGACAGATTGGATTGATTTGAGAGGGAACATCGAATACTATCCCCATAACAATAATACATCCCAGTTCAACTTGTGATTATATTTACAGATCAACTCAAATATTCCAGTCAAACGACTCAATCTCCTCCAGCCTCTCAAGTCAATATACAGCCACAGACTGCATCTCGGGGTCTGGAGGGAATCGTTGAATCTTGCCTTCTTTTTTTTGTGATAGAAACAGGTTATAAATAGAGTCCTGGTGTGGATGTTAATGGAAGAGCTGGCATGAAGGTGGACGCCAGCCTAATCCATCGCAATAGGGCCACTCGATAACAGCCATTTACACCGCAGAGCTGCCACCTAAAGTGGCCAAACCTCTTTGTCCTACGCGCCGGTACATGAATAACGACAGCTGAAACCCTAGTCCTTCCTTTGTGGGATACTGCCGTGGCTGAATGAAATGCAAGTGGAAAGACGGAGGAGAGAGCAGGTAGCATTGTGGCGTTAGTGAAGCAATGCACTCTGGGATAGAGTTACAGCCGGCCACATCGAGCACCTTTTCCACGCGCACACACCGTTTGGCTAGTGTCATTCATTCCCTAGTTCGTACTTTTGCGCCATTTCCGCCTCGTCTGAATTGATCATTTGCATTCTGCTGAGTGAAGCAGGTGATCGGAGTCATCCATCTAGGAGGGAACAGGTTTCGGCTGGAGTCTAAATTGAAATGTGATATGCATTTATCCAGAGTCTCCATTAAAGCTCTTTGCAGTAATCTTTCAGAATAATATTTATTCTGTGGGCTAAACACTTCGGCTTGATTTATGCACGCGTGGGAGCCACTGCTGGGACTCTTTAAGAAGCTGTGAGTTTCAGCACTGAAAGTGTAGCAGAGTCGAACAGGTGTTTTCACTACTCTTTTCCCACATCTCCGATGTTCCTGCTTTTCCTATTAGAGAGCGCCTCTGCTCTTTCACCTCCCTCTAACAGTGCGCTTCTCCTGGTAGACAGGCTCGCGCACACATACAATACACATGCTGTCACTTTCTCATGAAAGGCTTTTGCAGGGTCAGTGGTGTTAGATGTGGGCATATGTGTTTAATTTGACCTTTTGTTCAGCCTGATAAAGGCATAAAACTCACACGGCCTCGGCTGAGTCGGTGTATATAATTCTATCAGTGATTTATCAGACTAGTTTTAGGCCAGAAACATATTTAATCAAATACACAATTGCAGATGTGAATGCTTGGCCAGCACATTGCAAGTATTCACACTTAACGTATTCTTGTGTTAGGGTGGCAGTCACCAAACTCAAAGGGGGAGATGTGTTATGATTCAGGGAACTAGCTAAAAAGATGTCAACAATTTAAAGGAACAGTTCACTCTATCCATCCATCCATCCATCCATCCCACAGTATATGTAGGCTATTATGTATGAATATTTTACACCATCTATTCATCCATCCATCCATCCATTCATCCATCCATCCCACAGTATGTAGGCTATGTATGAATATTTTACACCATCCATCCATTCATCTATACATCCATCCCATAGTATGTAGGCTATTATGTATGAATATTTTAGACTATCTAGCTTCCATCCATTCATCCATTCCACAGTATGCAGGCTATTATGTACGAATATTTTACTCCATCCATCCATCCATTCATCTATACATCCATCCCACAATATGTAGGCTATTATGTATGAATATTTTACTCCATCCATCCATCCATCCATCCATCCATCCCACAGTTTGTAGGCTATGTATGAATATTTTACACCATCCATCCATCCATCCATCCATCCATCCATCCATCCATCCATCCATCCATCCATACCACAGTTTGTAGGCTATTATGTATGAATATTTTACTCCATCCATCCATCCATCCATCCATCCCACAGTATGTAGGCTATGTATGAATATTTTACACCATCCATCCATCCATCCACCCATGCACCCATCCACCCATCCACCCATCCATCCCACAGTATGTAGGCTATGTATGAATATTTTACACCATCCATCCACCCATCCATCCACCCATCCGTCCATCCATCCATCCATCCATCCATCCATCCATCCATCCATCCATCCATCCATCCATCCATCCATCCATCCATCCATCCCACAGTATGTAGGCTATGTATGAATATTTTACACCATCCATCCATCCATCCCTCAGTATGCTGGCTATTATGTATGAATATTTTACTCTATCTATCCATCCATCCATGAATCCATATCCATCCATCCATTAATCTATATCCATCCATCCATGAATCCATATCCATCCATCCATGAATCCATATCCATCCATCCATTAATCTATATCCATCCATCCATGAATCCATATCCATTCATCCATGAATCCATCCATGAATCCATATCCATCCATCCATGAATCCATGAATCCACGAATCCATGCTTTGGGCCTTAGTTAAACTGCAGTGCTTTTAACCCTTGTATTCTTAAATACCAGTAGTTTGGTGCACTTTGGCATCAGGTTCATATTAAGCTCTTAAATTCACTTGTTTGAATGAATCTGTACCTAACACTTTATCTCAGCTGAACCTTTATTTTGCTGGGACCGAAAGCATTCACTTCTTCGTCCGGAGGAATGCAACATTTAAAGCTGCAGTCCGTAGCTTTTTTGGGTGGTTAAAATTATCCAAAATACCAACACAGTCTCATGAAGATGCGTATCTATACCACGAGTGTCATTTCTCGTGGCATTTATACGCCAAAAGTGTTTTTTTCGTGTATATGGTACGCACTAAAAAACCCTGGGTTAGGTTTAGGGGGGAGGGGGGTGGGGAGTTCGTGCGTATTATACGCAAAAAAGTGCGTATCATATGTACGCGAAAATCGCGTGCCAAATACACGCAAAAACTGTTTTTGGTGTATAAATGCCACGAGAAATGACATTCGTGCCATAGACACGAACTTTCATGAGATCGGGCTGAAAATACATATGTGAGAAAATACATAACCAGCCAGTGTTCAAAACTATCTGCTTGCTGTAGCTCGATTCAAAGCGGTATGCTTGTAATAATGTTTTTAATTCCAGTATTACTAGTGGATTTCCATGGGAGATTTGAGCATGTCTTTGCTTCATTACGTCACATCTGTACACATAAAGAAGGAGTCTCGGCTAGTAGGATATGTTGCGAGTAAGGATGCTGGAGGTGGAGGTTTATAGCCTTTTCTCACTGCACTTGATATAATTACACTTATCAATTTGATGGCAGATCCAGAAAAGTTCAAACGACAGACAGATTCGACTTCGTTCGGACTTCGGAGTGGGTACAGAAACAAAGAGACTGCTACCGGACCCATACGAAAACAAGGAGGGTGTTGAAGTACAACTCACGTTAAGTTGATAATTCCGCAACTGACTGCAATTGCAGATTTCGAACAAAGATGGCGACAAAGATGAAAAACTGCAGACTGCAGCTTTAAGGAGAAGCTCAGAGGTTAAATGAGTACATAGTCAACAATTATGGGCCAGAGTAGATTTTGAAATAGCAATTCTTGCTTGGCTTATAGCATAGATTATGACAAGCAGATGTTGCACTAACCCTGTGCCTGATTGCTTTTTATTGCATTCCGTTTTCAATGCTATTGATATTCTCAAGTTTTCAATTGAAGCCACTTGTGCTCTCTTTTTCAATGTCACCATCTCCTCTATTTTAGGGAGTGTTCCATTTTTCAA